TGTGTGTGTGTGTGTGTGTGTGTGTGTGTGTGTGCGTGCTTTGTGTGTTTGTTTTTTTAAATCATCTCATTTCGTTGTCCTGGAAGAAATATATTTTACTTACGAGTCTTTTTTTCTTTTCAAATTTATTAAAGCTTAAAAATAATAAAATAAAATAACACTATAGTCAAATTATAAAGAAATAATATAGGACAAAATAAAACCTGAAGTAACAGAGTAAAATATTATAAAACACAATAATATTACAGAAAGTATAAGAGCAGATTACTATAGCGCAAAATAATATCCGTATAAAATATTCAGCAGGAAATATAATAGGAAAGTGTGTATTAATTTCCTTCCCTGATATATGATTTATTTTCAATCTGAACTTTTTAACGTCTGATGTGATGGAGTGACGGACTAACTGACAGGATGACGGAGGAACTGACTGACGAATAGACAGGTAGACTTACAAAGGAACAGTCTAAGAGATGGACAGACTGACGGATAAACAGACTAAGAGGGACAGACACACTGAGATTGTTATACTGACGAACGAATAGACTTAAGAAACAGACAGACAGACTAACGAACGGAGAGAATAAGAAAGAAGCAGACAGACGAACGAACGGAGAGAATAAGAGAGAAACAGACAGACTAACGTACTAACAAACAGACCATCAATATATCTCTCCACTAAATATACCAACATAATAAAGGAACTCAAAATACATATAACTACTATGCAATATATATGTAAAAATGAATGATATACATATACATATATTGGTATGGCTGATTGACAAAAAATTTCAACATATTCACAAGTTTCTATTAATTTACATATTAATATATAGATCTTGTATGTGCGTCAAATGAATTAATATATTTTCATTAAACTAATTTGGGTCGATTACGTTTCATGTTTCCTAATTTAATTTTTGAGTTTATTTTTAATTTTATTTACTTTTTTCATTTTTCTTTAAGAAATTTTCAGTAATGTTATGATGTTACGGCACAAAAAGGCCCTTGAATTTATGATGTACTGTTAGTATTTTACAAAGCAGAAAGATATTGATACGAATATACAAACACAATGAAATGAGTATATTTACACACACAAAAACACACAAATAGTAAATGTGCCCATACACACACACACACACACACACACACACACACATGCACGCACAAGTAGTAAGCTTTCACAGACACACACTCGAACACAAACACGCATACAAACAAACAAACACACAATGGTACAAAACACACACACTAACATAAACAAACACATTAAAATCACACAAACACACAAACAGACACACGCACAAAAGAACACATTTCCAAACACAAAAACAAAAATGCAGAGACAAACAAAAAAGTGCACAAGCATACAAAAAACAAATATCCAAACATCAAAACAAACAAACAAACACTCCTTACCCTCACCGTCGTTTCCTCCTCCCGTCACTTAATTGTTTGTAATCAAGACTAAACAAGCTCCCATTCGACGTTTTCTTTAGCAATCAATGAAAAAAAATCGTCACAGGTAATAAATTAGGCTAGGTCCTATTTTTTCAATTAACGTCTCAGGAAATTGATGTGGGCTTTTCCTATTTTACTATTGACTTCTAAATTATTTAATCTCTCTTGTAATTTAAAAGATAATGATTATTTTTTGTCTCAATTACTTTACTGTCTCATTCAATGGACAGAGATAGTTCATTCTTTTTTTTTCTCTCTCTCCCAATTACTTTACTGTCTCATTCAATGGACAGAGATAGTTCATTCTTTTTTTTTCTCTCTCTCTCCCAATTACTTTACTGTCTCATTCAGTGGATAGAGACAGCTCTTTCTCTCATTTAATCTCTCTATTGTCGTTATTGGTTATTATTTTTATCTCAATCTGTCTCTCAGCTAATGGATTGAGATATCTCTGTATTTTTCTCTCATTCTCTCACGTCATTAGAGATAATAGTCGTATTTTATTAGTTTTTCTCTTAAAGTGATGAGATATAGTTCACTTTCATCACTCGCTTTAATAGAGATAATTTAATTTTGTATATCACGTAGTTAGAGATAGTTCAAGTGATTAAAGATAGCACAGGTGATTAAAGATAGTTCAGGTAATTAAAGATAGTACAGGTAATTAGATATGGTACAAGTAATTAAAGGTAGTACAAGTAATTAGAGATAGATAGCTCAGGTAATTAGAGATAGATTAGTACAGGTAATTAGAGGTACTTCAGGTACTCTCAGGTGAACTCATCAATTAATAGAAACTAATAGACATAAAAAGAAAAATTATTCTATCGTTCTATTATTCCCCTGATGATAGAATTTCATTTATTTTCTAGCACTTAATAGATTCCGGCCAGCGATATGATAATTAGGTATAATTATAATTATATATTATTAATTGTATATTATGCTGTATTTTATATAGTAGTGTTGGTATATTATCAATTATTTGTTCATAGTATGAAACACACACACACACACACACACACACACACACACACACACACACACACACACACACACACACACACACACACACACACACACACACACCCACACACACCCACACACACACACCCACACACACACACACACACACACACACACACACACACACACACCCCACACACACACCCCACACACACCCCACACACACACACACACACACACACACACACACACACACACACACACACACACACATTCACATATATATTTATTTAGTTGTTCAAGTATTATTATTTTTATTATTATTATTATTATTATTATTATTATTATTATTATTATTATTATTATTATTATTATTATTATTATTATTATTATTATTATTATTATCATTATTATTATTATTATTATTATTATTATTATTATTATTATTATTATTATTCTTATTATTATCATTATTATTATTATTATTATTATCATTATTATTATTATTATTATTATTATTATTATTATTATTATTATTATTATTATTATTATTATTATTATTATTATTATTATTATTATTATTATTATCATTATTATCATTATTACACTCAAAGTAAATCAAAGGAATATACACATCCCAACTATTACTAGATTGACTATATACATTTATTGAATAAATTACCTGACCAGTTACGAAGTGATATTGGTATTTGCTATATGTGTTGGTTTAACCGTGTTTATCCCACCTCCTAAAAACGACACGAGTTGCTGTCACCGCGGCTCCCACTTAAGCGTTCACTGTTCAAGTAATTATTAATTCATCCCATTTTCTGTTTATGGTCGACTTTTTTATTTATTTATTTTTTTTTTTGAAGGTGCGTAGTGGACTTTTGTTGGTCTGTCTGTATAACTGTCTGTCTGTATAACTGTCTGTCTGTTTGTTTGTCTGTCTCTCTGTCTGTCTGTCTGTATATATGTGTCTGTCTGTCTGTCTGTCTCTCTGTATGTCTGTCTGTATATATGTGTCTGTCTGTCTGTCTGTCTTTCTGTCTGTCTGTAAAGTGGATGTGTAAAGTGACTGTTGATATATAAAGTGGATTTATAAAGGGACTGTGTAAAGTGATTCTAAACCGACTAAGATAAATGACTGTTTAAAGTGACTGTTAATTGGAGGAAAGACAGGACAATCTTTTATTGTCTCTTTTCTTTCATTCTCTGTAAGACTGTCTATCAAACTTTCTCCTCCTGTCTCCCCTCTTCTCTCTCTCACTATAATAATAATAAGAAGAAAAATAGTAGTAGTAGTAGTAGAAGTAATAATAATAATAATAATAATAATAATAATAATAATAATAATAATAATAATAATAATAATAATAATAATAATAATAATAAAGATCATGGCATATTATCACAATGGTATAAAAGAGCTTAAAAAATAACGAAGCCAAAATAATAACACCTTTTTTCCCATCACTCCCATGATTCACTTAACAATAAAATATGACCTTACTATTTATTTATTTAATTGTTTGTTATTGTTATAAAAATTTTAGCAAAGCAAATGCATATCTGTCTTTTTTAATCATTTTTTTAATTACGCTTAAATACTCTGCTTTATACGCACCTGTAACAAAATAAAATGATTAATAGTATTTTTTATTTTTTTTTAATGTATAACTTTTGGTCAGTTGATATCTGTTTTAAGCGCTGGTGTAATTACTGTTTTTTTTAGTTTTAGTTTTAACTGAGTAAATTATTTCCATTTTTTTTTTTAGTGAAGTTAATTAATTATGAGTTTTCTATACAATGTTGTTCCTCGCCCCGCTCTTTACCTCCCCCTCCCCTCCCCTCCCCTCCTCCCCCTCTACCTCCCTCTCCTTCCCCCTCCTCCCTCTCTTTTCTCTCCTTGTACGAGTTATTATCCATCTGTTTAGTTTTGGTTAAGTTCCATGCATCGGTGTCGGAGTTATAGAGAGCTCTTTGTGGTAATCTCTGTTGACTGACTGACCGAATGGCTGACTGGCTGACTGACTGACTGACTGACTGTATTATCCTTCCTCCTCCTTCAAAAGTTTGGTCGGGATCCGCCCAGATATGACGCAGTTATGGCCTCTTGAGATGATATGTGTGTTCCGACTGTGTGACTGACTTACACACACACACACACACACACACACACACACACAAATACAGTCACATTACGTTCCACGGTGTACACATAACATGCCAAGCAATTTCCGTAGAAGGTAAACATGGGTTATAGCTCTTGACCCCAAATGCCTAAGGACTGACAGCCGAGCAGACATACAGAGCCATAGACAAACACTACACACAGGGACACAACAACGAAAATTACCCTCACAGAGAATTACAATGCATCACAGGCCTTCATATATATACCGAGGGTTTTTCCGAACGATGTGGAGTAACAAACGAAACATACACACAGACATACAGAGACACAAACAGATAGACATACAAAGATACAGACAAACAGACATACAGAGATACAAAGAGAAAGGCAGACAGACAGACAGACAAGCAATACAAAATATAGAACTCACCGCGTCATTTTCTGAAGATCTTAGACATGTGTTCCGACAAAGTCTTCAAGTTCCTGCCAAAACAAGTCTTCATAACATTACTAAATAACGGCTAAGACAAAAAAAAAATGGGTCTCGGTATTTCAATCACAACTCTGAGGAAAGTTACAACCCAGAGAGTGAAAAAGTTGATATTTTTTGTTCAATCACTGTAGGACGATATCATTCATCCACTGCTTCAAATTGATGGATTTTTTTTACTTTTTTTTTTTTACTTTCTCTTCAAACTACCACTTGTACTAATGGCTCAGGGTTAACAAGGCAGATTGAAAGGGACTCATAGAACTTGTTTCAAAGCACTAGGAATTATTATAGTGGTAAATCATAGGGTCCGAACCACCATCAATCAGCTTTTATCTACGGTAATTATGATTTATGGTCGCAGTCTCCGTGCCTGAGGGTGTTTCCAGGGTGTAGGTACACTAGATGAGTATCCTAAGTGTAACCAGAGTGAGAGAGGCGATGTTTCTTGGGTGTAAATGCGGGATTATTCAGATCGCGGATGTAAGCAGCGTGGGAGTGAAAGACGTGCTCTTCCTCTGAGTGTCGGGGCGGTACTGACGTCCCTCTCTGCCCAGGCTGCCCTCCTCGCCTCCTACACCAGCCTATACCTCCCGCGTTTTCTAATGGCAGTGTCTCTAAAACCAAAAAATTAGTTCCCTGTTGTCGTATGCATAGACAACAGGTATCTATTAGTCGAATGACAGCTTCTGATTGGCCGATTTGCTCAGTGCTTGTAGCGCCACCACACAAACACGCAAACACAGGTAACTATACAAACACACATAACTAAACATACAAACAAACACACGTAACTACAAAAGCAAACAAGCACCCATAACTACACAAACACATAAACACAAGTAAACACACAAACGCACGTAAATACACAAACAAGCGTAACTACACAAACACACACTTAGACAAACACACATACATAACTATTGGCGGTCTTCCACTCCAGTGACCTTACGATATAAAGAGCCACTTGGCGGATGCAGACTTGGCACGATGTTGTTTGGGGGGCACTTGTGTGTGTGTGTGTGTGTGTGTGTGTGTGTGTGTAACTATGTGCACTTGTCTTGCGTCATTATTCAAGCTGCTCCCTCTCTCTCTGTAGCCTTTGATCCGACTTGAACAAAAGGTGGAAAGGGAAGAAAAAAATAACACACACACACACACACACACACACACACACACACACAAGTTTATCGTCTCTTATTTAAACTATCTTCATGAATCCAGTTCAGTTTATATGACAATTTGAATTCAGTCTTCTATATACAGTGTGTGTGTGTGTGTGTGTGTGTGTGTGTGTGTGTGTGTGTGTGTGTGTGTGTGTGTTATGTCAAACTATTAATTACTTAGATACACGTAATTCCCTTCATGTGTCTTCAATGTTATGTGTTCTGTAATGTATTAGTGAACGATTTAATTTACACCTTACCTGTTCTACCTGTTTCTTTATCTAAATACATTCACCTGTCGTTCACATTTCAATACGTTTGGAATAATCATTGAAGAACACATTGTTATCGTAAATGTTATTGTTTCGTCGCCAATCGTTCTCGCTCGCTTAGGTTTGGTTAGGTTAGGTTAAGGATTGGTTAAATTAGATTAGGTTAGGTAGGGGTTATGTATGGCATCAAATCACGCATGCTCCCTTCTTCAGGCTGAAGCATAAATCCATATGCTTCCTTCCCCAGGCCGGAGCATAGATCCATATCCTCCTTTCACCAGGCCGGAGCATAGATCCATATTCTCCCATCCCCAGGCCGGAGCATAGATCCATATGCTCTCTGACTCAGTGTTCTTCCCCCTCGACGCCAACCAATACAATCGATGACCTGAAGTGTGTTAGAGTAGAGTACATGTGCGTGTGTGTGTGTGTGCGTGTGTGTGTGTGTGTGTGTGTGTGTGTGTGTGTGTGTGTGTGTGTGTGTGTGTGTGTGTGTGGGTGTGTTCAAGCCGGTTTACATATAATATTGGAGAAGCTTACGTATTACTAAGTGAGTCTGTGTGCGTGTGCCAGTGTGACCGTGTGTGTATGTACGTATGTGTAAGCATGTGTATTTGTGTGCGTATAGTATTGGACAATCCTACGTATCCCTAAGTGAGCGTGTACATGTGCGTGTGTGGCCGTGTGTATGTGTACGTGTGCGTGTGTGGCCGTGTGTGTATGCGTGTGTATGTGTGTGTGTATGAAGGTATCATTACGGGAATAGCTGATAGGTCATAGAAGTTATGTAATGTTGTTCTGCTGTGTTATTGAGACCATAAAACAACACGAAAAATGGAACAAAATTTCATGTTTTTTTGCTCATTGTTACGTAAGAGAACAGTGCACGACAGAGAATAATAGAGAGAATGAGTTAAGTGAGAAAGCGGAAATTGAAAGAAAAAGTGATTGAATATATATGTGAGACAGACAGTGAGAGAGTGAACACAAACACGTGTGTGAAAGAGTGAGAGATAGAGGGAGTGAAAGCGAGAGATATACATAGAGAGAATGGAGAGAATTACTCAAACCTCTTCAGGTGTATCAATCTTACTAATAATTTCCACCTGGACGTTACGTAGACACTATCAAGGGTTCTCCTGGGGCTCATTACATCCCCTCACTCTACCCTTTCTTCCTACTCCTTTCCTCCCTACCTTATATTCCCTCATTCACCTTAACTCCTCCTACTTATCTCCCTCCTTCCTTCCTACATAACTCCTCATTCCCTCCCTCCTCCCTCCTTTCCCCTTTCTCCCTCTTCTCCTACCCCTTTCTCATTCCTCATTCTACTTACTTAACTCCTCCTACTTATCTCCCCCTTGCTTCTAGCTCTCATTCCCTCCCTCCTCCCTCTTCCCTCCTTTCCTCCCTACCCCTTTCCTCCCTACCTCCTTTCCTCATTCCTACTTTTTCCATTTTCCCTCCCTGCTTATCTCCCTCCTTCCTTCCCCTCCATTCCTTCCCCCATTCCCATCGTTCCTAATCTACCTCTGCCTTCCTCCCTACCTACCTCCTCCTTCCCTCCCTACCTACCTCCTCCCTTCCCCTTCTTCCCTCCCCCTCCCCTCCCTTGCCCTAGTGAACAGGAAACTATAACTTCCCCTAACTTGAAGTAACTTTGAGGACTCAGATTAACTTAGAGTAACTTGGTGACGTAGACTAATTAAAGTATCCTTAGACTTGCTCTCGAGTTACTTATACTACCTAAAGTAACTTGGAGTTATTCGGATAAGCTTAGAATAAGTCGAGAGGCTCTTAGAATCTCTCTCTCTTTTTTTTTTCATCACCACCTAGTGTTTTACAGAGCTGGTGTTCATGGAGACACTTCTGAACTCATTGCAAACGCTCACCCACCACCCCCCTCACTACACCTCCCCATCCCCTCACCTCCACCCCCCTCACCACTCCTCCCCTCACCACCTAGTGTAGCAAGAATGAGTTATTAGATGTAGTGATAATGGGACCTGTGGTGTATGTGTGTGGCGGGAGGGAGAATGGTATAAGTGAGGAGGTGAGAGGAGGAGAAGGAGGAGGGGAGAGAGAGAGGGGAAGGAGAGGGGGGGAGGGAAGGAGGAAGGAGGAGGAGAGGGAGGAGGATGGGGAGATGGAGGAGAGAGGGTAAGGGAGAGGGAGGGGAGGAGAGGAGGGGAGGGGGGGATGGGGAGGAGAGGAAGGAGAGGGAGGAGGGGAAGGCGGGGGGTATGAATAGGTGAGAAAGTAGGAATTGAGGGACAGGAAGGTTGGTGGGAGGGGGTGGAAGAAACGGAAGGGTGTTGAACACGTGAGGGCAGTGGGAGGAGGAAGGAGAGTATGAACACGAATGAGGAGGGCAGGAGGGTGGGAATAAAAAGGGAAAATATTGATGAAGTAGAGAGTGTGGCGAGATTGGAGGTGAGGTGGGATTGAAGTAGGAGAATTATGAATAGGTGGAGAATGATTGAAGAGATAGAAAGTGTGTGTGTGTGTGTGTGTGTGTGTGTGTGTGTGTGTGTGTGTGTGTGTGTGGTGTGTGTGTGTGTGTGTGTGTGTGTGTGTGTGTGTGTGTGTGTGTGTGTGTGTATATATATATATTAATTAACGGTTTATTGAAGAGCTTAGCTAATATGAGTTATATTTGGGGAATGGTTTCAATACAAATAATATACGAAGTGACATAAGTGACACAAAAGAGGGGAGGGAGAAGGGGAGGGAGAGGGGGAAGGAGGAGGAGAGGGGATAGGGGGGGAAGGAGAGGAGAGGGAGGAGAGGGGAAGGATAAGAGAGGGGAGGGGAGAGGGAGAAGGAGAGGAGAGCGGAGGGAGAGGGGGGAAGGAGAGAGAGGGGAGGAGTGGGGGGGAAGAAGAGGAGAGGGGAGGGGAGAGGGTTGATGGGGAGAAGAGGGAAGGGAGAAGGGGAAGGAGAGGAGAGCGGAGGGAGGAGAAGGGAAGGAAGAGGAGGGGGGGGGGAGGGAGGGAAGGAGAGAAGAGGAGAGGGAGAAGTATGAATAGGTGAGGGGAAAGTAAGGTGAGGGGGGACAGGAAGGTTAGGGGAGGGGTGGGAAGGAAGGAAACGAAGGGTGTGAACACGTGAGGGGGAGAGAGAGGAGAGGGGAGAGGGGAGAGGGAAAAGGTGGAGGAGGGGAAGGGAGAGGCAAGGAACACGGAGGGGAGAATGAGGGAGGGGGGGAGAGGAGGGGTGGGGGAGAGGAGGGAGAAATAGAAAGGGAAAAATATTGATAAGTAGAGGAGAGAGTGGCAATTGGGGGAGGGGGGCGAGTGAGGGGTAGAGGGAGGGAAAAAGTTGAAGGGGAGAGTAGGGAGAGGTATGAATAGGTGGAGGGAGAATGATTGAAAGAAGGGGAGATAGAAGGGAGGGGAAAGTGTGTGTGTGTGTGTGTGTGTGTGTGTGTGTGTGTGTATACGTGTGTGTGTGTGTGTGTGTGTGTGTGTGTGTGTGTGTGTGTGTATAATAATAATAATAATAATAATTAACGGTTTATTGAAAGAGCTTGGCAGCCAGAAGGCTGAAAATATACAGTTACATATTTGGGGAATGTGTTACGAATTACAAATAATATACAAGTGACATAAGTGACACAAATAAGACATATAGTAACTTAGATGGGGATCAGCTCAAAATACAGTTCATTTCAACATAGTGACAGTGTAGGGAGCAGTGTTTACCGGGAGTGAATACACTGATTTATTACATGTTATTGATAATTTTTACAATGGTTGGGACTGGGCTGTTCTTATAGCGATCAGTTCGTGCACGTATGGGCTGGATGCGGTTGTGGTGTCGAACAGCAATTCTCGGACAGGGGATCTCAGGTGGTAGTAGGGGCCGGTGTCGGGGATGGTGTAGAAGCTTCTTACCAAATTTGCAGATGAGGCCGTGGTGATGGTCAGTGAGAGTCGAAAGGGTCAGTGTGTTGAGCGCTTCTTGATATGTGGAGTAGGAAGGGGAGAGAATAATCTTGCATGCCCTCTTTTGCACTTTTTCTAGGTGTTTACGTTGTGTGGCATTTAGGGGGGGAGGCATAGGTGAGCTTGGGAAGTATGAATG